AACGCTCTCCGAACGGGTGAACTGTATAAAGACTTGAAAAAGAATCTGGGCACTGTGTATTCCGAAGTGCTGATAGATCCCGAAAGCATGCGGCTCTGGAGGAGGAAATCATGATCAGGGATAAGGTAGCTACACCCCCTGCCCCAACAAGATTGGCCGATCGGCTGGGTGCTATTCCAGCAGCCGTTCCTCCTCTAAAGCCAAGACGATTCACCCCTTTGGTCCTGTCTGTTGCAACAATTTATTAGCATGAGAAGGATAATATTCCCCTTCCAACTGATACCAAAGGTTACATGGGAGCAGATGAGAATTCTTTCTGTAAATATCACAAACGGAAAGGTCACCCCACCCATTTGTGCCGAGCCTTGCAAATTGCTATTGAAGAGTTGATCCAGCGGGGGCACCTGGACAAATATGTGAATAAAGACCCGAACGTTGTAGGCATCCTGAAACCGGTCAAGAAACCCAACAGTTGGAGACGGGATGATCAGCGTGATGCCCAGCCCAGGAATGATGTTTATATTCCCCCAGAGACAAAGCAGAGGGTTCAGGGAACCCGGGAAAAAAGTCAAGAATGGAGGTAAAGGTTATATTTGGGGGCGGGGAAACAGGAGATTCGTATGCCGAAGGGCAAAGGTTTGAACGGAGCCTCGGGATCCGTTTCCACCCCCCCCCCCCCCCCCAAGAAAGGAAGGATGGATCCAATCACATTCGGCCCTGCAGATTTGCTCAACTCACCAAGTCCGCACAGGGACGAGTTGGTAATAAGCATGTGCATAGACAATGCATTGATCCGTCGGGTGTTGATTGACATGGGTAGCAGTGTGAACGTATTGTACCTACAATCGTTCGAGAAAATGGGACTACAGAGGAACCAGCTGACCCACCTAAGGACACCACTGACGAGCTTTACCGAGAATTGCATTGAGGCAGAAGGCACCATTCAATTGTTTGTTGAGATTGTAGATGAAACGCACAAGGCATCGATCCAAATGACATTCGTGGTGGTGGACATCAAATGTGCCTATAACGCTATTCTCGGTCGACCAGGGTTGGAGGATCTAGAGGCGATAGCTTCTGTTCGACATTCGTGCATTAAATTCCCCACGGATACCAGGGTCGGAGTGGCCCAGACAGATCCAGCAACAGCTCGAACTTGCTATCGGGAGGCCTTGAAAAATATGAATACCCGAGGAATGCGGGTAAACATTATTGAGGTTGAAACTCGTAAAACAGAGTTTGGGGCACATCCTGAGTCGGCTACTCTCCTAGAACAAATCGACATTGATTCTCCGTAAAGTGGCGATCGGGATGGATCTAGATGCTGAAGTACGGAAAGGTGTGATCGCAGTTCTGAAAAAATTTCAGATATTATTCGCACGGGGGACCAGAGGACATGCCTGGCATTGATCCGGAGATAATCTGCCATTAGCTAGCCGTTTGGCCCGACGCCAAACCAGTTCAACAGAAAAAAAGGTATCAGGCGGCCAAACGGAGAGATTTCACAAAGCAAGAAGAAGCCACCTTACTAAGAACCAGGCACATCCAACCGGTAATCCATGTCGAATGGTTATCAAACGTGGTACTGGCACCAAAACAATCCACTTGGAGGATGTGTGTTGATTATTCTGATCTGAATAAATCCTGTCTGATGGACCCTTATCCAGTGCCGAGGATCGATCTCTTGGTGGATGAAACAGCTGGGTGTGAGCTTTTAAGTTTCATGGATGCATTCCAGGGATATCATCAAATCTTCATGCACCCGAACAATGCAGAAAAAACAGCATTCGTAACTTCGGATGGCGTATTCTGCTATATTGTCATGCCATTCGGGTTGAAGAATGCCATGGCTACCTTCCAAAGAATGATCGGACTGCTCTTCAAAGAAGTATTGGGAGTCACAATGGAGGCTTACGTTGATGACATCCTTATCAAGAGTCAGAAGAAGGAGGATCATGTCCTGGACATAGAAAAGGTGTTCGGGTTAATGCAGTGGGCGAATATGAGGTTGAACCCCCAAAAATGTGCCTTTGCCGTTATGGGAGGCAAGTTTTTGTGGTATATGATGAGCGAGAGGGGTATTGAGCCTAACCCGTAGAAGGTGAAGGCAATCATGGACATGGAAGCTCCAAGAAACCTCAAGGAGGTCCAGAGATTGATCGGTCGATTGGCAGCCCTGAGTAGGTTCTTATCCAAACTTGCCGATCAGGCAATCCCATTTTTCCAGATTATGAAGAAGGCAAACCCCTTTGAATGGACCGCCGAATGCCAAGCGGCCTTCGAGGAGTTCAAGACGTATCTGTCCTCTCCCCTGGTCTTGACAAAAGCTGATCTAGGGGAACACTTGTTTATGTACCTTGTTGTGGCCGATCTGGCTGTAAGTTCAGTATTGCTGAAAGAAGAAGATGGCATCCAGCGGCCAATTTATTTTGTGAGTAAAGCCTTGAACGGGCCAGAGACTAGGTACACCCTGATGGAGAAAATGATATTGGCCCTAATAGCAGCCATCAAACGACTTGCACCCTATTTTCAGGCGCATCCAATAACCGTATATACAACTCAGCCGCTCGCTACCATCCTGAGAAACCCAATGGCTTGCAGGAGAATTACAAAGTGGAGTCTCCTGATCGAGCAGTATGAGGTAGAATTCAAGTTTCGACCTACTATCAAAGGCCAGGCCTTGGCTGATTTCATAGCGGAATGTACCGCTCGGCCTTCGGAAGCCGAGTCAGAGAACAACGTACTGAATAACTGGTGGGAGATGTACGTAGATGGTGTATCAAGTGCAAAGGGTTGTGGTGGTGGAGTCGTGATCACATCACCTGAAGGGTTCAAGGAATATTACTCCATTCATTTTGATTTTAAAGTAACCAACAATGAGGCCGAGTATGAGGCCTTTATTGCAGGTTTAAAGTATGCAAAGGCCCTGGGCACCGATCGGTTAAAGGTCCAGTCAAATAGCCAGCTGGTGGTCAACCAGGTAAACGGTACGGCTGAGACAAAACAAGAAAGGATGAAAGCGTATAAGGAACTGGCCGAGGAACAAATAAATAAGTTTGAACATGTGGTGCTCGACCAGATCTCCAGAATAGAGAATACTGAAGCAGATATCTTATCCAAACTGGAAAATGCAGCCCTCAATGACCAAGCACAGATGATCCCAGCTCACATCCAACGGTTTGCCCATCGGGAAATCTTGACAACCCCAGCAATCATGGTCCTTCAGGTGGAGGCTATCTCTTATGTCGTTCCTAGTTGGGTCACATACATGACCAACTACCTAAAGGACGGGACTCTCCCAGAAGACAAAAATTCAGCGTATAATATCAAGTACATTCAGAGGAGGGCTTCCATGTTTGAGCTAGTGGATGGACAGTTGTACAAAAAGACATTCGGAGGGCCTTATCTAAAGTGCCTTTCGCCCTGTCTAGCAACTGCGGTAATGAAGGAAATTCATGAAGGCATCTGTTCAAGCCATCAGGGGCCCAAGACACTGGCAACAAAAATTATCCTGCAAGGATATTATTGGCCGACCATCCAACAAGACTGTTTTGCACATACCAGAAAGTGCAAAGTTTGCCAGCTATACGCACCGGTTCCCGGACGGCCAGCCACTTTCTACACTCCAATGACTATTGCTCTTCCATTTGCTAGGTGGGGGATCGACTTGCTAGGACCCCTACCTACCGCCCCCGGAAGTCACAAGTACATCATTGTCGGGATAGATTATTTCACCAAATGGGTGGAGGCCGAACCACTGGCTAGCATCACAGATGTCAAGTGCCAAAAGTTCGTCTGGCAGAACATTATTTGCCATTTCGGCCTCCCTGAGCAGATCGTCACAGACAACGGAAGGCAGTTCATGAGCAGGAGTTTCAAGAATTACTTGGTCAAATGGGGGATCAAACATTCCAAAGCATCTGTAGCATACCCCCAGGCAAATGGTCAATGAGAGAATATGAACCGTACCATTGTGGATGGTATGAAAAAAAAACTAGAAGAATGTTCTTTGTCATGGCCAGATCAACTGAATTACATCCTATGGACGTACAGGACTACACCTCGAACGGCCACATGAGAGACACCATTTGCCCTTGCTTATGGATTCCAGACTAAGGTTCCAACAGAAGTCCTAGTTCCCACACACCGAATAGTGCATTACAATCCAGAACGCAATGAGGATAATCTACGGGCCAAACTGCACTTCATAGAGGAAAGAAGGGAATTAGCTGCAAGACGGATGGAGGAATATCACAGGGCGACAAGGAGATACTCCGACAAACAAGTAAAAATTCGATCAATCGAAGTAGGAGACTTAGTCCTAAGGAAGTGAGAAAAGAGCAAACCTCTAGAAGGCGGAAAAATGGCCCAAAATTGGGAAGGCCCTTATCAGGTCTACAAGAAATATGCTTTAGGAGTGTTCGACCTACAATCTATCAAGGGCCGACCGGCAGGAACATGGAATGTTGAACACTTGAGGAAATTTTACCAATAAAAACGGTAGTTTCCACCTCTTAAAAAAAATATAGAGAGGGAGACATAACTTCCAGGGAAGTCTCACTTCAGCTTTTAACATGCAATTCATTCTGGATGACCGAATGAGGAACATGTTAACAGTTTGGAGGGAGCCATCATCTCAGCTAAAGTTTTTGACCCTATGGTTATGAACGAACGAATAAAGGGATCAAAGCGGCTTGGAGGTGGTGTCAAAACTATAAGTATGGACAAACCGAGCGACGTTCGGTAACACGGATTGTTCATCCGGGAGATCGGAACTATGGTTTTTAAATCTCGCCTCAGTCATTAACTTGATTTGGAAGTGAGTCGCCATTTTAGCTATAAGTGGGAAATGACCCGACCAGGGGATCTTGTTTATAGTTTGAAAATGGTCATCTCAAACCCCTAATATGGATGATCCGGATCAGAGAAAACCAGATGGATTGCATCGGAATTTTGGGTTTGGAAGATAGAAAAAACAAAATACAGTAACATGATCGAGGGACGAATTGATCTTTATTCTTCGGCACTAATGACCGGGAAATATAAGAAAAATAAAGAATAAACAAACAAGATTATGCTACTGGATGATCCCTGTTCGGGGAAGATAGAGGTTGAGGGCCACCAGGCTGCGTCACATCACCATAAGCCGTTTTCTGCCTCTTCTCGATGACCCGATCATAAGTATTCCCGAACAGGTCATCAAACCCTAAATCATGAGGATCGAACGGCTTGGAGAAATGTTCCATGATCAGATCAAGGTTCCTGTCGAGAAGCAGATCCTGACTTTGCTTCACCGTCTTCTCGGTCAAGACGTCCAGGAAAGATTTTCCTTCTGGTGTGCCATCCAGGAGATCGATCCCCGCCTTGATAGGATCCTCACTCTCACGCAAGAATTGGCCAAGATGAGGTCCCAAAAACTGCCGAGCGGTGTTTTGCAGGGCAACGTCCAGCCCTTTCCCTCGTTGGTAGTCAATCACCGCCTCTGTGGTGATCTTGGAAGTATCAGCAATATAAGGAACGGGAGGATTTTCTCCCTTGACTTTGTCAAATTTCAACCCAGCAGATTCGGCCACCTTCACCTTTGCCTTGAGATCCCTGATCTCCCGATCGCGGCGGCGGATCCTCTCCTCCATCTCAGCCACTTCGGCTATTGCTCTCTCACCTCTGGTAGCACGGTCCTGCAAGTCCGTGATCAGCTTACGAGCGGCAGATAGAAGCATCTGACCATCATCCCGGTCGCTGGCCAGACGCTTCATCTCCTGCTTGGCTGTCAGGAAAGCCGAGTGATAATATACTCCGGCCTACCAGCAATGGCAAACAAGATCAGATGAGATCTAAAAATTCAAAAAATGCGTAAGTAAAAAAAAATTAATTAAAAGGATCTATACCTTGAGAGCCTCTTGATAACCTGCCTCGAACAGATCAGACCAATGAGTGAGGTGGGAGAAACTGAGGAGAACCTTCAAGGAGGTGTTGCACCACATGGAGGATGGCATTTGCCCGAACAGATACCTCCCATCGGCACGAGGCCCCATGTTAGAAAATTCCACAAACATTCGATCGTCGACCGGCATGTCGGTAAGGACTGAACCCCCTGACATAGCAGTTGGGATGATAGGCCTTTTAGGCTCAGTTTCTGGACCAGTCAATTCAACCACATGGTCGATCGGAATAAGCTGAGTGCCATCACCCCTTGACGCCTCTTCCGGCTTTGTTCTTCAGTACCCTGGTCTCCAATAACCAGTTTTCTCTTACCCTTTCCAGCGGCTGTCGGAGTAGGGGCGGGAGTAGAACGGTTAACATCAGCAGAAGGAATCACGCCTGCAAAGGAAGAAAATAGGGTTAAGGAACGGAACTGGACGAAGTTCGATCGAGATAAAACCAGGGAACTTACATATTCCAGCAGCCAACATCCTGTAAGAAGTAACGAAAGATCGAAGATTCCGAGAACCTCCCAGACGCAGAGATTCAAATTGGGAAAGAAGAACGACATCCAGCTTAAGTTCAGAATCCCGAACTGGGTAAGCATTCCACCGATCAGGGAATGGAAGTGGCGCGTCCACATGGACAAAGAGAAACTGTTCTTCCTAGTTAACTGGCGCAGTAGGTTTCTCCGTGAACAACTGACGATCAGCACGAGCGACTAATTTCAGATACCCTGTGGTCCAGTAAGGCTGATAGCAGTAATGGTACAGGAATAGGTCAACATTAGGATCAATTCTCAGTTCTTGGCACCGAATGATAAAACCATTCAGAATGTGGTAGGTGCCGGGCACGAATTGAGCAGGGAGTACAGAGACACGTCACAGAAATTCTTTAGGGGGAGGTAAAAATTGGCGGATCTGCCATTCGGCATCTTCAGGAAGGCATTGTCTTTGTTCCTGGTTGCGGGTGAAGTGCAAAGGTAGGCGAGGTGGTCGTTCGGGCATCCCCTTGTTGTAAATGGCGAGATCATTGCCCGATAAGCACCCATCATCTAGGAGAGGTTGTTCGGGACGTTTTGATGCAGAAGGGTTATTGGTGTCAGCAACTTGGGATGATGAGCCCGCGGCTTTATAACAGGGGAAGTTTTCCCTCTGGGTCGACGAATGAGCGACATTTCTTCTGAAGAAGAAGAACCGGAGGAAAATGACATAAAAACAGGGAGGGAGCCTGAAGATTCTAGAGAGAGAAAGCTTAAAGAGAAGCAAGAAGAAATTGAAGAAACAACAGAAAACACGAAAAGGAAGCACCTCTATTTATAAGTAAAAATGCCGCCCAAAGCCCTAACCCATGACGAACACGTGGCAGAATATGGTTGCAAGCAATCATGACGTATTTATGGTTATAATAGCATGTACCCCGAACGGTGCCCATTCCAATGACGACAATGAATATCCTAACACAAGCTTGTATGATTAATCCAAGTATCTTAAAATATCCCGAACGGGTAATATTTGAAGAACAAAAGATAAAGGAAGTATTAGCAGTTTGAGGGGGCCCTCATCTTAGCTAGTTTTTGGAAAGGGTTGCTAAATGGTTCGAAGGTGATGTGAAATCTATAAAGATGCGGGATCCGGGCGACATTCAGTAATATGGATGATTTGTCCTTTTTGTGTTAGTTTACCCGAACGGGAAATTGTGGTATCCAAAGAATATAAGGATGAAAGAACACAAGAAACAACTAAGTCCTATAAAACTGACCGAATCCCGGATGGTAAAGCAAAAAATGACAAAGCCAAAGAAGTAAAGTCAGATAAAACATTGGGAAAAAATGTTCAATATATATTCATCAGCTCTACCGACCGGAAATTACAACAATCCTACATTATAAAAAGGGGAGCTACAAAATAGGTTAACATCAGATAAAGATTTATCTACTGGCCAAGATTTTCCTTTCCACCATCTTCATCTTCATCATCATCATCTTCTAGATCAAGAGGGGGTTCAGGTTCCCTGCCAGCTTCATGATCGGCCTCCCTTTGAACATCCCGTTCGTACTTCTCAAATTGAGCTTGGACAATATCGATCTGAGGAAGATCGGAAGCCTGGCCTGGTCTCCCAAGCTGCTGCTGTAGATGGCCCATAAAAGGGCGTAAGATGTGCTGGCAACCCTTAACATAGAGATCTGAAGCCAATGAATCATTTCATTGTTTGCTCTGGGGATCCTTGTCAAGAAGCTCAACTCCGGCCTTAAGCCGTTCAACACCTCTGGGAAAAGTCTTCAGGTAAGCCCCAAAAGCCGCTGGGATTTGCTGCCTAGCGTAATCTTCCTTGATGGTTGAGAACTCATCAGAAGATTTGAACGCCTCCCGAACGGCGGACAAATCCACATTCACTTCAGCTAGGCCGTTTGGGATACGGGGAGCTGTTTCTTCAAACTTAACCAAAGCAGCCTCAGCAGCAAAGACTTTGGCTTGAAAGTCTCCAAGATGAACCCTAAGCTTGCCAAGCTCGGTCTCTAGCCGTTACTTTTCTTCTGCAAAAGCCTTCCGATCGGCCTCAGCAGTAGTAGCAGCAGTAGCAGCTTGCTCTGCAGAAGTTTGAGCGATGATCAAATCCCGCTACTTGGGAAGCCGGGCCTCCCTCAGCTGCAAGCTGTATAGCGCCACTAACAGGATTCCGTTCAGAAACAAAAGATGAGACGATATAGAACGAATGATAACCTGTGAAACAAAGTACAAGGGCAAACAAAGTACCTTCAAAGCCGCTAAGGCCAAACACTCCTCTGCCTGCTCGACCGGCAGTTTAGGGACAGCAAAGTTATTGAAGAAAGCGGAGGTGGACCAGATTTGGCTCGCAGAAGAACCAGCTTTCTCCAAGACTTCAAGAACGGGATCTGCCAGAGAGATCTGTTCGACCTGCCCAGGGAGGTTGACAGTGTGGGTCTCACCCACATCTATATTGGCATCCTTAGCTAGGGGTGTTCATTAACCGGGTCGGACCGTAATTTAGACCTGAACTGGACCGTATTGGACCGGACCGATATTAACCGGTCCATGTTTCGGTCTTTAGAATATTAAGATTCCGGGTTCCGGTCCGGTCCGGGTCAAACCCGGAAAAATACCGGTCCGGACCGGTTGCCCGTTAAATTACTTTTCCCAAAAAAATACTTCCATTTTTAGGGCTTGTAACCGGTGGCCCATTTATTTTACGAACTAAATTAGGGAAACCCAAGATACGTTCATAGTATCTTTTTAAAGTTAATAGCATTATGTTTTGTTTTTTGCAAAATTGAATTTTCATTATTTGATTTGCTATGATTTGAAACTACAATGCAGTTTGTTTTTTATGCAGTACCTTTTCTATAGGTGTGCAATATGTTATATGGTTGTAGTTTATATATTTTTATGATATTCTCAAGTTTGTTTCTTAAATTGCAACCTGCAAGAATTCAAGACTACAAATACAGTCTGCTAGTTTGTAGTGTGCACTAGGGAAGTAATAAACATTTATATGCTAATATTGATATATGAATTAAACATTTACTACGCATATTTGCTCATCAGATTATTTTTCGAAATAAAAGTCTATGTTATTATTTTTTTGTTTAAAAACCGGGTTAATTAGGGTCAAAACCGGACCGGACCGGAAAATTCCGGTCCGGGTCGGTGGGACCGGTTAGTAATAGGTCCGGTCTTCGGTTCTCATAAATTTAAGATTCCGGTTCCGGTCCTAACCGGTTCCGGTCCGGTCCGGTCCGGTTTTGGACCGGTGAACACCCCTATCCTCGGCAACCTGAAAGTGCTCAGAGAAATTATGCAACTGATCGGACCCAAACTGGTCATCGGTCAGCATATCTTCGAACTGGTCCTGATGGGGAACTTGCTGAATAGGCTCAGGCCCCTGAACAGGCTGAGAAGATCCGACATCTTGATTAGTGGCGGTGGAAGGAGTGGCCTTGGGGTTCTTCTTGGCTTTCTTCTTCTTGCCCACTCCCCCGGCAACAAGGACCCGACTATCATCCATAGTAGCGTCTGGATTGAGAACTGAAAAAATAACACGGCAAAAGTTAGTACCGAGCGGTCTTATCACGTGGGAAACAAAGAGGAACAGAACGTTTCTCGCACGAGGAGGACCGCCCGGCCCATGGCACTTGGTTTTCAGACAATTAAACCCAGGAATACGGGTAGTACCTATCCCGGCTTTGACGAGATGATCATGAGTCAGGTACGTTATAATGTTACAAGTTTTGGCCTCCTCCACAGCAAAAACATCCTTACAGATTGTCTCGGTAAGAATCGGATCCGGTGATTTATGAGGGAAAGTGTTCCACCTATTTGGAATCAGACCGTCCGAGATGGAAACCAAGAAAAACTGCTCTTTCCACCCCTTAATTGACGTTAGATTGTCCTTAAAAAGTATATGTCCCATTCGGGCAGTTGCGGCCAAATACCCATGGGTCTGTTGAGGGGCTACCTTAAAAAATTGATGAAATAGTTCTAAACTAGGCGTGACCTTAACATCTATACAACGACAAATAAAGCCAGCCATCACCCGATAGGAGTTTGGCATGACCTAGGTGGTACGATTTCATAGAAATTACAAAAACAAAACAAAAAAGGGATGCATTGGAAACCTAAGCCCGACTGTAACCGAGTCTAAATGAACTACGACCATTCTAGGGGAGTGGCACATTGGATGAAGCCCAGCTCGCAAACGGAAGTCCACTGGGTCTGGAATTAGGGCCAGAATTTGGGCCCTGTTGTGAGAGGTCAATGTTTGCCGCCTTTCCCTAATCAATCTTAGGTCAAGTTTGTGACGAGGGATATTGCCCGGGGTCCAGCCGCCATGGAAGCAATTTCATCATCGGATTATGTATCATCAATCGTCATCATCAGAAGAAGAGCTGACAGAAGAATCCTCCGCCTCCGCCCTGTTATCCTCTGCTGCCTTATTTGTGCCTTCAGCAAAAGGGACGAGTATGGCATCCACAACGGCGGCATCATGATTTTCCCCTTGGGAAGCCATTTCCGAATCAAAGGAGCATGATCGAGGACACATATCGATCGAGGCAAAGAGTAGAGGAAGGTTAAGGGACGGGGAATACCTGAACACGAAAAAGCTTGAAGGATCTAGAGAGAAAGAAGAACAAAGGCACGAAGGAAATGAAAATTCGAAACCCGTATCCAAGAAATTCAAGGCCTATTTATAGTCTGACAGGCGCCGAATCAATAACCAACCAGAAGAAGACACGTCACCTGGACTATTTGAAAAGACATGTGTCGCGTGGGAAAGCAAAAGCCAGTAATCGTGACAAATATGGGAAAAATCAAACGACAACCACAAATAAGGTACTAATCATGACATAGGGAACCGACGAGCTCTGACTCCCGATCTTCATTCAGCATACAAGTTCTACTTCCCAATGCACTCACTATCATTCAAGACACCAGAAGTGAGGGACTCGTGTTGGGATATTGGACCAAAGGCCCAATACCGGGCCAAGGGCCCAGATTATCCAGTACAAAACAGTTAGCACAGAATCCAGACGAAGAGCGAGCCCGGAGAGAAATATGTACCGAACGGGGATCGGGTCAACCAAGGTACTTGGGCCAAATCAACAACGTTTCAGCGTGACCCACCACTCCAATCGGGCAACGGACCATTGGCAAGTGGCGAAGTGCATTAAATGCTAGAGTGTGACATGAGCAAGTGGGAGGATGGACATTCAAGTGGCTGGATGCGCAACCAATCAGCAAGGAGCACCCCATACCCCCCATTTGTATAAATAGAGGGATTAATCTCATTGTAAAGGGGTTAGCATTTTGATACTCAAAGCCTAGAATATCTTTATTACTCTTTTTCTTGTATTAATCACTGTTCCGACGTACCGTTCGGAAAGTTTCCTATGTAATCGGCGAATTGCATAATACAAGTGGGCTCTTGAGATTATTATTATTCAGCTTTTATATTTTGTTATATCCTCGATTTATTATCCACATCCTGAAATATCCAAAGCGTGTGTTGGGCTATCGGATCTACGGGACTAAACCTCAACACATATATTTGCTAAAATGTTTAGATTACCAAATGCATAATATTTCACATTACTTCAACAAAAAAGAACAACAAAATAAGAATTTTCATTCAACCCCTTTTATGTATGAAAGTTGGGCATTCTAAACTGAACTCTACGATTTTTTAAAAGATCAAGGTATCATCAATGATAGAATCTGTTGAAAACCCCCGAGCTATATCTCTCTCTATATATGTCACCAGGTAGCTTGAAAGAAAGTCATCCTCCATTTTATTTCGGAGGCAAGTCTTCACAATTTTCATGGCTGAAAATGCTCTTTCTGTGGTTGCCGTTGAAACTAGAAGAGTTAGTAAGAGACGGATTATCCTATCAACAAGAGGATAAATTGTTGACTTCCGAGTCTTCGTAATCCCAAATTGATTTTCGAATATGGCCCAAATTGAATATAAGCTCGGTGAACCTCTTCTTGTTCATTAGGATTGTAATCCCAAATTGATTTTCGAAGTCTAGGATCACGTTCCAAATTAGAAATATTAAATTGTCTAATTTCAACTCTGTGGATCTTAGATGGGCGCTCACACACTTGTGAAGAAGCAATGCCGGCTTTTCATCATTAAGATCTTGTGGCGGTTGTGGCACTAAAAGCACTGGGTCATTACTTCTTAAAGGTCTCTTGAAATATGAATCAATCCTTTTATTATTCATAATTGAAAATATAAAAAAGAAAAACCTTAGTGACTTAATGGAAATACATCACATTAACATTTAGCAAGTCTATACAAAGTTAGGAAATTCTGAAAATACTTACAAAAATAACTAAACTCAATTACTAAAAATAAAAGAGTAAGGAAAGCTAGAAAGCAGTGGAAGCCATTTAGGCTTTAGCAATGAAATAAAGTTTAGCAATGAAATAAAGTTATAAAGGTTAAGGATGTTTTTACTTGTAATTTGCTGGTCTGTTCTGGTCTGGTCTGATCTGGTCTGAACTTGTCTGGTCTGGTCTGGTTTCTTTGTATTTTTATAACTATCCAAGTCTGGTCTGGTCTGAACTGGTCTAGTCTGGTCTGGTCTAGTCTGACCTGGTCTGGTTTGATCTGGGACGAATTACGGTCCAAGTAAAAACATCCTAATACTCCATTACTTCGTAGACCGTAGGTTACAAAGCTTAACTGCCAAAGGAATACGAAATAAAATAATAATAATAATAATAATAATAATAATATTAGTAATAATAGTAATAATAATAATAATGATAATAATGATAATAATGATAATAATCATATGAATCATAATAATCATATGAATCATAATAATCATAATAATCATAATCATAATCATAATAATAATAATAATAAGAATAATAATAATAATAATAGTAATAATAATAATAATAATAATAATAAACTGCTTAGTTGTATGCGACTTACCTGTGCGCTGCCGACTGCGTCCTGCCGTCCTCCTGCTGTGGCCTCTAAGCAGAGCGTGAGAGAAGCCAAGATTCCAAGAATGAAGCGGCTGTGCGCAGAGATTCCAGAGAAGCGGAACCTGAGGCTTGGGCCTCTCCAGCGGTCCAGCCTAACTGCTTTTGATTACCATTTTTTATTATCACATTAATGGGCTTATGATCCAATATTATGATGCATTTAACATTTTAGTCATTTAATTAAAACCACTAGTAATATACTAGTACTCTATAGAATTTAAAATTTCAAATTTGATGGTTAATTCTAATTTTAATTTTTCCTATAAGGTAATTGAAAATTTTCAATGAGCTAAAGGGGGCGATTTTCAGTATTTAGATCCAGGTAAAATTCAAAAATCACAAGAATTAATACTACATATATAAACTAAAAACAAAATCCCAAGAAGGGGGGGGGGGCGACCGCCCCCGCGCCCCCTAAATCCATCCCCGGTAATAACCAAATGGTTATAACAATAAGCATATGAAAAACGATGTTTCTGCACACATTTTCATGACACAGTTTGTGCACATGAGTCGTATTAGATTGTGGACAGCCTCATCCAGAGGAGTAGTTTAGGATCTTAACATAGCCTTGAATTGTTTTAGAGATATCTAGTGTGGGAGGGAGAACAACACCCCTCCTCACGAGCTGACATTTCATCTCGATCATGCCGTCATTCATTTTTCATTCATTCGTCAATGTCATTTTTTATAATTTTGTCGACATTTTTCATAGAGGACCCACATCATATTTATGGATTGATTTGACCCTGATATCATGTTAAGAATTGATGTTCTATCTTAAAAGACCAACTTCATAGAAGGAGGTGCCTGGAATTTTAATATAATGTTGAATTGTTTTAGATATATCCTACGTAGAACATTAACATTTTCATAAAAACAATTATTGTGCGTGCAGTCGTGCACATACTTTGATCTGTTTAATCTGTAACAACTCGCAACACTTTTGTTTGTATATACTTTAGGAAAAATTGAAAATAATAATCCTAACTATTGCCAGTTCGTTAACAATAATCCCAACTATTGATTATTTTTGTATAATCCCAACTATATGGACCGTCCGCCAATAATGGTCCATGACCGCATATTACCTACTTTAACAAGTGAATTTGTAATAGAAATTAAGCATAAAAATTAAAATTTGGGATTATTTATAGGGATTACCTGTTATATCTCTTTAGAAACTATAGTAGTTTATTTACACTCAGCCACGTCGGACCATTATTGGCGAAAGGCCCCTAAAGTTAGGATTATTTTGAAATAATCGATAGTTGGGATTATTATGAGAGGACCGTCAATAGTTGAGATTATTACAATCAATTTTTCCTATTCTTTATTGTTTGTAAGAATTGTAAGGTCACTCTTTTTGTCTGAGAGATATTTCATACCAATTTATTGTGTTAACAAAGTTTTTCTTCTAAGGCCCAAGTAAATAAACAAAAGTTATCTCCGTGAATTTTTTTGGGAACATGTGTCATGGATGGTTACTATACCATGATCAAGAGTTTGTGTTGTAATTGTTTTTTAGCTTATCAACCTTATCAATCAACTTTTTAATGAAATACGTAATTTTTTATTTGCGTGCTGAATTATGTAATAATAAAAAAAGTAAGATCAAGGTTATTTTATGGCTGTATTGATTGAAGTTACTGTAGATGACCATTTTAGCTATTTTTTCATATACTTTTTTATTTATTTTATAAATAAAAACTATTTTAAATTTTTTTTTTTCATAAATCAGTAGAATCAACCGATACAACCACTTCAACTAGAACTTATAAATTTCAGTAGAATCTAGTCATATTAAACGGGATCTAGTTCATCGTTTACATGTAGTTCATTTTTATTTCACTAGCGATCATATATGCTTGGCATTTACTCTCTCTCTCTGTAATTTAATCACTTTTGACTTTGTTGTAGGTCTAGGACGGGGAACCGTAAAACCGAAAAACTGAACCGAACTGAACTTTCTAGTTCGGTTCGATTCCTATAATTTTGGAATTCAGCGTTTTTCGGTTCGGTTCCTATAGTATTTTATCGGTTCGGTTCCGATTCGGTTCCAGTTCGATTTCGGTTCCTAGGCAGGAACCGAACTTCTTATACCATGCATGAGTAATCTTCATTTGAGATGTTTCTGGATGAGATTTGTTTGATGAGATTTTGTGAGCTTGTTTTACATGAAATATAGATTATGTCCACCAAATTTGAGCTTAATATTCAATCGGGAAGTCAGTTTAATAAATTATCGAAAAAAACACTACGCCAAAATTTTTATAAAAAACGCAATGTTTTTAATATTTTATTTAACTCACTTCCAGATTGAATTTTAAGCTGAAATTTGGTGAATATAATTTACGTTTCATGCAAAACATGCTTACAAAATCTCATCAAAAACTTCTACATGAAAGCACCTCAAATGGAGGTGGTCAGACGACGTTCCGAGCAAAAAATTCTTTTCAGAAATATTAGTCTTGGATAAAATACCTTATATATTGTGGATCGGGCCAATCCGAGTAGTTGTTTTTTACTACTTTAGTCCACATTTATATTTATTGTTTGTTTGTAATTGTATTTGTTGTTTGAGTTCACCTAAAAAGGGGGAACGTTCACGAAATAGAACTAAAACAGTTTGAAAATTCCAAAATAGGACTGTCATGTTTTTTTTTCAAAATAAGACTAATTACTGCCATGTTTAGAAAATACTGCCATGTTTGAAGTCTGGTACTGCCAAAACATGGCAGTAACTAGTCCTATTTTGGGAATAAAAATATGGCAGTCCTATTTTGGAATTTTCAAACTGTTTTAGTCCTATTTCAGGTAATTTTCTCCCTAAAAAAGGAATTAATATTTTGTTGATTAAGTTTTTATTTGTTATTGTAAATTACTAATATTCCCGATCAGTTTATTACTACGTACTTTTACTTATGAAGCATTACGTGCTATTGGATGTGCACCTTGAAGCTATTAAACATTTTGGTTTGATAGTTGATGCCTATTTTAAACTTTTATGTTTTTGTTATGTTTAAATTTAATGTTTGTACTTGGATATCATGTATGTATAATGTAAGGTCATAATTTCATGATTTGAAACTTGAATTTTTTATGTAATTGAAGGTAAATGTGTTCATTTTAGAAGTATAATAAATTTTGTAATAAGACAAAGTAAGAAAAACTAGTGATTATATATGCTTGGCAATTATTCTCTCTGTTCTTGTAAAAATACAAAAAAATTAAACTGTCAAATGATTTATAAACGGGAAAACAAAAGTTTAGTCAATTCACATCAGAAATCTTTTTAGAATAATTCAAAAGAATTTTTCTTGAGGAATACTCCATCAAAAGTACACCATCAAAAGTACACGCCGGTCAAATTGTCTATATACAGACAGTTTGATAGGCTAGACAGACAATTTGACCGGCGTTTTATGAAGAAAATTGATTTCCATACAGACAAAATATCAAGAGTTGTCTGTATCACAGGCATTTTAAACCTGAATTTTTCATAAAATGTCTGTGATACAGACATTTTTTTATTTTTGTCTGTGTGAAAATTGATTTTCTTCGTAAATCGCCGCTTAATATGTCTGTGTAGTCGATCAAATTGTCTGTACACAGACAATTTGATAGACGTGTAACCCGGCGTGTAAAATTTGGCGTGTACAAAAGGAATTTTCCAAACAACATGGAGGTTATCATCTTCTAACAGTAAAACAGTAATGCTGTTTCATATTCTAACCTAGGCCCCACATGCCTTATCCTCTTCAAACAAGCTAAGGTGACCGGAGATGGGTTCCCTAATTCTCTATGGTTTTTGCTGGCCACTTGAGGTGATCTATCTTCCACACCAAATTTTGTTTCCCACCTAATGAATGAACTATCAATTCTCCTTTAATTAAACTGATTATTATTAAGCTGCATCTATGAATAGTATTCTATTAAAGATCTATCCATCAATTTTATAGAAAAAGGTGAACTTTAACTAAACTTCTCTTCTGAATATTTACTAAACAAATGAGAAGTTATGATGGGATAAAGTGATAAACTACTTTTCAATAAAAGATTGCACATTTAACGAGAGAAAAATGTGGGACTTAATTTTAGGGTGTGGGCCCCCACACATGGCAGTATGGCACCAGCATCATGGACCCACAAGTCATCATGTGGATAAGTATGCAAGACAACTAAAGAAGAAAGAAAAGAATGAGGTAATAGGAGAAACACGAATCCGGTCAATCCGGCCATCAAAACCACCGTACCAACTCTTCCCTTCTTCCCAACCCTATCCACATACGTAACCTCCCTAAGTCGGCCCTCTTTCCAATCGCTCAATTCGTTCTTATCCTCATGTCTCGCTTATTTGTTAATCTTTTGGCAGCTGCAATAGGTGTTTGGTAGTGGAACTCACTTTTATTGGCGCCTATAAAAATTTAAGGCGTAGAATTTAGTACTACCTTTGTTCCGAAATAATTGTTCTGGTTTGACTTTTACACAGATTAAGAAAGTGAAGTTGACTTTAAACTGTAGTGACACTGTTTGGCACTGTAGCGACACTGTTTGGCACTGTAGCGACACTGTTTGGCACTGTAGTGACACTGTTTGGCACTGTAGTGACACTGTTTGACACTGTTTTGCACTGTATGACACTGTTTTGTATAGATTTGTTTACCAAATAAGGAAAGGAGAATTATTTAGGGACAGATCGAAAAGGAAAGCAGGACAATTATTTCGAGACGGAGGGAGTATTAGTTATATGTTGATTTTTTTTAGATGTTATGTATTATTCAAGATTCCAAAATTATATGTATAACCTTTAGATTCTCTAATTTGTGTACTTTAAACATCATAAAAATTATATTTCATTGAATTGTCTAGTCTATTTGTATTTGATTGTTAAGTTTTGTATTTAATTTTGTTTTAGTAGACTTCCAATTTGTCATTTAGAACCGGGACTTCCAAATTCAGAATTTCAGAGCATGTTTGTTAATTATCTTTACTCCTATGTCATATCTATATCCCCTTTTATACTAATGTTAGAGATAAAATAAAATTACCTCGTTCCATGTAGAGTGGGCGTTCCCATTCTATATGAACCAC